TTCCTCCCAAACCACGGGCCCCACCTTTCTTTACGTCTCTACGTATTTGTCTATGACAAGTGTCTCATAACTGTGGAATGGTACTATATCTGTTCTTCTGTGACTGGCTAATTTCACTTGGCATAAAGTCTTCAACTTTCATCTGTTTCAGTGTGTTTCAGAATTTTTCTTTTTTAATGGTTGAATAACACTCAGTGTACAGATGCAGTGTATTTGTACTGCATTTTATGCACCTGTTCATCCACTGGTGGATTCTTAGGTTACTTCTGTCTCTTGGCTATTGTGAGTGATGCTGCTGTGAGCACGAGTGCAGACATTTCTTTAAAAAAATACTTTAAGATTTTATTTATTTTTATTGGAAAGGCAGATTTACAGGGAAGAGACAGAGGAAGGTCTTCCATCTGCTGGCTCACTTCCCAAATGGCTGCAATGGCCAGAGCTGAGCTGATCTGAAGCTATCCTCCTAGGCCTTCCTAGGTCATAAGCAGGTGACTGGATGGGAAGTGGAACAGTCAAGACATGAACCAGCATCCATATGAGATGCTGGCACTTGTTGACAGAGGATTAGCTAGTTGAGCCATTGTGTCAGCTGAGTGTAGACATTTCTTTGAGACTCTGTTTTCCATTCTTTTAGGTGTATGAAAATAAGTGGAAGTGTTGGATCATGTAGTAATGCTATTTTTTCTTTTTTTGAGGAAACTCCACGCTGTTTTCCACAGTGGCCGCCCCATTTTATTATATCTCCTTTACAAACTTTGCACTATACTTCTAACTTCTACATATCTTCATCAACACTTGTTTTATTTATTTGCTTTTGACAATAGCTGTCCTGATGGATCTCATTCGTTTGGTTAACATTTCCCTCATGTCTAGTGCTGTTGGTGGTTTTTTTCATGTGCTTGTTGTCTATCTGTATATCCTCTGTGGAGAGATATCCATTCAGATCCTTTCCCTGTTATTTGTGGAAATTCTATTTTTTTTATTCTTAATTTTTTTCATGGTTTCTTTATTTTCATGTTGTTTTCAGAGTTACAAATTTTGAATTTGCAAAGAATTTCAATCTTAATGAAAAATTGCAAGAATGTGAATAATACAAAAAAATCACATATTGTATTAGTTGGTTTGCTGTTCCTGCTGTGAACTACCCGAGGCGGGATACTTTGTCCAGAAATAGGCTCATAGTTCTAGAGATTCGAGGGCATGGTGCCAGTGTTGGCTTGGCTCTGATGAAGGCCTAAGGGTAGACAGGTGACAACACAATAGCAGGAACACTTGCCATCAGATGGTGTGACAGGAAGCCCAAGCTTGGGGAGGAGCCAGTCTTGCTCTTGATAATAAGACTTTCACAATAACAGACTCTTTAGGACCCCAGCTCATAAAATGCTCACCACCTCTAAATGCTACCACATTGGAGAGCAAGTCCCCAACACGTGGGCCCCTGAAGGACAGCCTGTGTCTAGAACTCTGTTTACCACCCCGTGGATGTGCTGCTGCTCATGTACATGCTCACTCTCTCACACCTTTTCCCTCCACACACATAAGTTTTCTCCAGACTTTGTGACAGTGGGTTGCATACAGCGTGGCCCTTTCTCCTCCTGGTGTGTAGTTGTTAAGAATAAAGATTTTCTTTTACTGCAATATAGCACAGTTGTCCATGCAATCAAGTGAAATTTGTACAATACTTTTGTACAATTGATGGTCCACATTTCTAGTTTTGTTTGTGAAACCAATAATGTTCTTTGTATTTATCCTCTCCAGAACAAAATTTAGGATCACATATTTTATATATGCAAATACCATACATACAGACATACTTACAAACCAATATCTGTAATATAAATATTAAATGTGCTTGTCACGTCCCTTTAGAGTCCTTTAATCTTGAACATTTCTACAACTTTTCTTCCTCTTTTAGGACACTGAGACAGTCGAAGAACGCAGCCAATCCTCCTAACTTTCATAAAAAGCACAGAATCTGGCTCTGTTTTGGTGTGGTGTTTCCTCATGATTAGATTCAAGCTTTGCATCCTGGCCAGCCTATCACCTGATTGATGCTATATCTGGCTTAGGGCCTAATGTCTGGAACTGCATGTGTCCATCTTCCTCCTATTAGGGATGCTCCTCTGTGATATTTCTTCACTTTGCAATTCACTTGGTATCTTTTCCCCTGCCCACCTAACAAATGAGCAAGGGGGAGACATTTTAACACTCCACAAGCATCCTGCTCTGCATAGAATCTCTTCCCTAGATTGAGACTCCACTGTGGAGTTTTGTGTGATCTAGGATTTATCATGTTGGTGAAAAAGCAATCCTTTCCAACTACAGGATTCTCACTTCAATTACAAGTCAGCACTCAACAAGGTCCTTCCATTTCCCTCTAGAAGTGCGTTCTTGTTATTTTCTATAAAGGAAGTGATGGAGACCCACAGATGACCTGTGGATCCAAGACAGGCAAAGAACATCAGGGAGATGTGCATTCCATGTGAGAATGTGACATGGAGTCTGAGTCCCCATGTGACAGGTACGGGTGTTTAGGTATCTAAAGGGATCCAGCTGGTGGGAGGGCACTTTGTACATGATATTAAGAGATTAAATGCATCATTTATTAAGAACAATGTTGACATCTCTTCCTGCCTACTGAATTTATGAGTCCCATCTGCTTCCTCTGAAAGAACATAACATAGTTGAGAAGGATGCTTGCCTATGTAAACTAGTGGTTAGGGTGGGAAAGGTCGAGGAGTAGAGGGAAGTGCATGAGATGATTGTTTCTAAATTTTTGTTTTTCTTCTTCCTGTATCTTGGGAGAGCAGGGAGATTAGGGGAAGCCACACGCAGCATCCTGTGTCAGTACCTGGGGATGAAGAATGCCCACCCAATGTCTTCCCAGGTTTCCCAATGTGGAGCATGCTCCATTCTGCTCAAGTGGTTTTGATAATTCTGAAATGCTGTTGATTTTGCCAATCCAAGGTTCCATTGGCTGACACAGTCCACTTTAGAGACTATATTCGCCCAGATATTTGCTGTCAAGCTTGGCTAGGGTAGTTGTCAAATTTGTTCTAAAAAAGGATAACATTTCAGCAGCCAAATATGAAACACAAAGGAAATGAAACCAAAAGCAATTGCCTGGTTCTGAACTATGCTTTTTAAAATTCCTGTTATTCAAGGTAAATGATAGCTGAGCCTTCCTGTCCTTTAGCCTCTCCAGAACTCTTGAGTCAGACAGAATGAGTTGGCATGTGAAGTCTTAGTTAAAATGTTTTAGGAATTTTAACTTTGGCGTTTTTCTCGTAAAAATTGTCTCCAAGCTTTCTACTTGCTCTTTTCAGGGAAGGCTTTATTTAGTTATTTTTCTTTTCATGAACTTACCTTTTAGTTCCGTTTTCCATGAACTTTTCAAGTTTTATTGATTTATTTGAGAAGCAGAATGGCAGAGGGAGAGACAGAGGGAGGTAATTCATCCACTGGTTTACTCCCCAAATGTCTACAACAGCTGGAACTGGGCTAGGCAGAAACCAGGAACCAGGAACTCCATCTGGGTATCCCAGCAGGGATGGCAAGAACCCAAGTACTTGAGCCATTATTGGCTGCCTCCCAGGTGGGTTAGCAGGAAGCTGGGTGGGAAGGTAGAGGTGGGGCTTGATTCCCCACACTTCAATATGGACTGTAGGTTTCCTAAGCCTACATAACCAGCTATGTCACACATCTACTCTTGGGGGCAACTTCAGCATATTCAGTATTATGCACGTCTGGCATTTTGGAGAAGAGTGAACTGAGGAAGGTATTGTTTTGGTTTTAGTTCTGCTCTTTCACAATGCTCCTTTAAGACACAAAATGACTTATCTCCTTTTTGAGCAAAATTCAGGAAGATTTTGCTTATGACATCCAGGTCATGAAAGTCATTGAAAGGATTCATCTTGTGACTATGTCTTACTAATTTATGTGGTCTAATGGTTGCATTTGAAGCCAATTAGTCACCTCTCCTGACATTTGTTCTTGGTAATGGTTCTCTTAGAGTTTTCTGGATCTTGTGATTGAGATGGAGAAACTAAAGCTGGTTGCCCAAGATCTACTGGATTTATTAGAAAAATGCCTAGAGGCCATCCACAGAACAGACCTGAAGACAAAAATCCAGAAATACAGGCAATCTGGTAAGAATAGTCTTGGACTCTTGGTGGCCTTGTAAGGGCCTTGTATATATTTGGTATGATTGGTTGATTTCATTTGTTGGATGGGTGTGTTGAGTGGAACAAGAAGTCCCACATCCCTCTGTAGCCTGTGGCTTCCAGATCACATCCTTCTAGATCCTTCATATTCCAGAGTGACTGACTCCACTGCCCCTTATGACCATCACCTTAGCCATCTGCAAAATGCCTCCAGTCATGCTGGCTTTCAGGAGAGAGCCTACACCTCTGTTTTCTGCACAGGCAGGCAGAACTGTTGGCACTCAGGGTTTTTAAGTACTTGCTGAGCCCCGTTTCCTTGCTCCAATACTTAGTCTAATGACCACTGCTCCGTATAAGGGTAGAGTCAATTGAGGTTCCATGGCAGCCCTGCATGTGCCCTGCCTTTCATAAAACCTCCTTATGGAATGGGCTTTGTTGATTTTCCTTGACTCACCTAGACCTTCCCCCTGACCCCACTCCTCCCCTGCCTTTACCTTGAACCTTGACTTGGGCTTTGTTAGCCCTTCCCTGCTTCCATAGCATCGTGGCTGAGAGCCAGTGGTGCACCCCTTACCCCCCCAGACTCCAAATGACTAATAAAAGGCCAAGAACAGGAGTGACATTTTTAGTCCCTTCTTAGTGAACCATTATTTGTAATTTGGTAAGGTGGTCAAGAAGGTTTTGGGTGCTTTAGGAGATGGTGATTTGGGTGTTTTCAGAGATTCGGAAATGTCAGATTGAGACACTGTTGAAGAGTTCACTTGATTGTAATGCATAAATCTTAATTCCAGACCTCTTTTCTGCTTGTCCAGCTCTAAGAGTGGGAGCAAATTATACCAATGGTATTCACGCCTCTCTCCTGAACTTGACTCTCAAAGATCCTTCATGTAACTTAAGGGTAAGTTTGGAGCAAATGTATGGGGTCCCAGCAATTTAAACTCTATTTTACTATCTGAACCAACTGTGATACAAATGTATATTTGTTTAAAAAATATGTATAGCTACTTATGATTACAAAACTAATATGTGTCCTTTGATATATTTGGAGAATATAGAGAATTATAAAAGGAGGAAACTAAGTCCATTGTGTCCAAAAGACAACCACTGTTCATATTTTGTTGTACTTTCTTCTGGTCTCTTTTCTTTGTATGTTTGAATGTATGTCTTTTTGTGTAGTTATATTAACTTTCATTGTTTATTTTTTCTTTGAAAATTTAATTTTTTTTGAAAGACAGATATACAGGAAAAAGAGGCAGAAAGATCTTCTGTCTGCTGGTTCACTTCCCAAATGGCTGTAATGGCTGGAGCTGAGCTGATCCAATGCCAGGAGCCAGGAGCTTCCTACTGGTCTCCCACAAAGGTGCAGGATCTCAAGGCTTTGGTTATCCTCTACTGCCTTTCCAGGGATCTGGAAGGGAAGTGGAGCAGCTGGAACATGAACCTGTACCTCTGTGGGATCCCAGTGAATGCAAGGTGAGGACTTAGCCACTAGGCTATCGCACCAGGCCCCAAAATTTAACTTTTAAATACATAGAAATTGCCTATTGACAAAAAATTTAAAGTATCATAAGAGTTTTTTTAAAAAAGTTTTTTTTCCTGCCTACTTCTTTTTTTTTTTTTCCTGCATACCTCTGTTGTACCATTCCTTAAAGTGTTTTCCCAGAGGCAAGCATTGATAAGCAGCTTCTTCTGTAATCTGCAAGTGATAGTCTGTGGTCATATCTTTCGTTTCTTTTATACAAACGGTAGTACAACATTCTGATTCATTCAAAACTGTTTCTCATTATTTTTAGTGACTGAGTGTAATTGCATCTCTTAGAAAGAGTACACATATTTAACCCTTTCTTGTTGATGTGTCTACTGTTTGCATATGTCATTATAAATGATGATGGAAAATAAGTATCATCGTATGCTTATCTTCATGCGTTTGCTTTTTACTGAGCTTGTTTTAACTCAGCAAGAATTATTTTGTTATTGAGGGATGAAAGTTCTTTTGTTGTAGCTCATTGATATAAATATCATATAGTCATTTACATTTGTTGTGATAGATTTAGGCACTACCACGTATATTCAGAAGTTTTCTTGGGTTGATCATTTGTCTTGTAAAATTATTTCTTATGTAAATTTATCATTATCTCCACAAAAAGTTCTGTTGCATTTATAATGAGGAATTAGGCCAGAGTATAATTTCATGGTTAGATTATAAACCCTTTGATAAGATGATGCTATGAAAACATTAGTAACTCCTGTAACATCACTGGCTTTTTGGAGGATATGAGCTTAAAAAGATATCACTGAGCAATAGAATTTGAGAGATTAAATGATATTAAGGGAGTCTGGCATGGCAGCCTAGTGGCTAAAGTCCTCGCCTTGCATGCATCAGAATCCCATATACGAGACGGTTAGTATCCTGGCTACTTCACTTCCCATCCAGCTCTCTGCTTGAGGCCTGGGAAAGCAGTAGAGGATGGTCCAAAGCTTTGGGACTCTGCATGTATGTGGGAGACGCAGAAGAAGCTCCTGTCTTCTGGCTTTGGATCAGCTCAGCTCTGGCCCTTGCAGCCACTTGGGGAGTGAATCAGCAGCTGGAGCATCTGTCTCTCTGTCTCTCCTTCTTTCTATAAATCTTAAAAAAAAAATCGAAGGAAAAGTGATGTTAAGGATTATACTGCCAGCATCCTCACGGAACATAGCAGGCAGACCTAGGCACAAAGAACATTAGGTGATTGTCTACTTCTACTAGCTGACCGAGTCCTGCTCTGCCAGTATACAGCTGACAAACCATGCAGGAATCAGATAATAGCTTAGATACATCTTTTTTTTTTTCTAAAAAAAAAATAATGTAGGCTTTATTTTCTCTGAGTCTCCATGATACCAAATCATGAGACTAATCTGGATTCACATGCAGATTTTCTGAGTTTTGTCTGTTCTAGTCTACCTAATAGAGATTATGCTGTCGTCATTAGTTTAAAAACTGTCATATGTTCTTACACTCTATTTCTGTTTTGAATGTGAAGTTACGCATGTCCGTCGTCTCTGGGAACTCATATATGTCATGTATCAATTTCTACTGAAATTTGCTCCATGTAGTGTATCCCTCGTCACTCCCTCACTTGGAGAGCAAGCACTGTGGCATATGAATTTGGTGAATTCCCCCACAAGATTTAAGCAATGAATACCTAGGTGTTAACTCAAACAATGTTATAAAAAAAATAAAACAGCATTATATGACACAGGTTACCAAGATATTACTGAACAAAAAGTTTGTATGATGCTGCAATACTGCCTTTAAAATGTAGCCTTGATTTGTAGTTCTCTCTTTAAAAATTTTTTAACTTTAATTTTTAGCAGATTCAGTATGATTTAGATCAAGTGTAAGAATGTGCTGGTATTGCCTCCTCCTCCCTTATGCCTTCCCTGCTTCCCTTTTCCTAATCCCTTTCTTTCATTCTTTTCTTTGTTATTGAGGTAGCATATTTTAAATTTACACTACAGCAAAAAAATCTTAATACTTCACCAAATAAGAAGCTTAACAAATAAAATTTTTAAAAATCCCTACTTTAGTAAGAATACAGACTGGCCATAAATGATAATGAAAATGGAAAATGACCATTTCGCTTTCTGATAGTGTGTTAAAGTGAATGTACATCTGTATGGGATGCTGGCATTGCGGGTGGTGGCTGTGCTTGCTGCACCACAATGCTGGGCCCATTGTCCTCATTTCACAGATGAGGAGACAGACCTGGAGCCGGTGAATAACTTGCTCGAGGTTTCCTAACTGGGAAGAGGCAGAATCAGGAGTCAGAAGCAGGTGTGTCTGACTTTTAGCCCCGACTCATGACCATACATACATAACATTCCTGTGTTAAAGGAATAAGGTGTCAATCTCACGCCTTAAAGTCGCTTCAGTTTTGGTACTCCTGTAGCAACTATGCTATTACATTTGGTTTTATTGAGCTGTTTTGAAACATTCTAATATGCTGATTTAGTATATTTACATGTTGATTGCATTTTTTTGCTTTTTAGAAAAAGTAATCTGTTTGTTGGCAATAAGATGGGACTTATGGAATTTAGACTACTTGTTGTTCTTTGTTAGGCAACTTAACTGGGAAGGTGGTATTTTTATGTTTTTCCCCGAGGAAGAATCCTATTGAGATATTTAAAGAGATGAGATAGTGTGTGCCTCTAAAAAAGAAACTCACAGGCAATGTGACCTTATTCTTTCTGTTTGAAGCTACAGAATGGAAGAATTAAAGACCAAAGGCTTGTGGAACAACTTGGCATTCAAAGTAAGACCAAATTTTCTTTATAGTTACTCCTTCCTTGTAAATGCTTGATAATTCAAGTACATAATGTTGCCTTTTTACGGTTGGCACTTTCCTGTATCTAAATATTCTAATTAATTTTTCAAGCGCATTTACTGGCTTTCCTAGGTATCAATGGGATACACTTATTTAAATGTGAACACCAGCTTGCTCTATTTTTATCATCTTGATTTTGTTTCCAAGAGATGTTATGTTTATTCCTGAAATGAAGCTATAACCAGGCTGTGTTAAATAGTAATCCGATCATGATAATAAACTGTGTTAAACCAAATACTGAGTGGCAGTAAGAAGGAAGGTCAACAGGTTCTCACAGAATAAGGCTAAAGGATAGATGATACTCCCAAAGAGAAAGAAAAAGAAGAATCACAATAGAAAACCTTGGTCGTTCCTACCCATAGGACCTCTGTCTTCTCTTGGGGAAAATGTCTGCTCTTGAACCCAGGGTGTCATCTTGTAGACATTTATTTCCGGGACTTGTGTTGAATGATCAGCATGTGGCCAGAGACTCAGTCACACACTGAAGGGGCAGAGGCTGTGCCTCACTGGGCCAGGAAGCATTGTCTGGCAGGCTGCTGGCTGGCAGCTTAGAGGGCACCTGTGTGATGTGGATGAAGGCGGTGATGGCCCCCACGCCCGATCACTATCCTGTTGGTTTGCTGATGGGCCGCTGTTGCCCCTGGAATCTGGGCAGCATTTTGTCCAGGTGAGCTGGGTGGTACAGCTTGTACCTGTCATTCTGCTCTAGCAAAGACTACTAAGAAATGAATAGATACTGTAAGTTATATCATATTTCTTTTATTTATTTAGTTAAACGTGATGGCCAATATATACTTGCTCATATAACGATAGGTAGAATATAATTTAGGCTACCAATACTTGGTGATCTTATTAGAAAACTTTTACCTGCAGTTTTTTGCACTTGATTTATTTACTACTAATAAAAAGCTTCTGAGAATTTGATCTTAGTCTTATGGGAATTTAAGCTATTCGAAACAGGTATTCATGTGAATTTGGATTTGCCAATGATGATGATAAGTAAAACTTATCGAGCTTTTGTTAAATACTTTTAAAATGAGATATGTCACAAAGATTATTTTGTAAGTTTTGCTTATTTTGTGAATATTCATGATAAAGTACAAAAGGTAAAGTGAGATTTTCTCTTAATTCTAAATGTCAGAGACAGTACCTGTAGACTCTTTTATGTTTAAGTATGTATATATGCGTGAGTATATGCCTACAAATATATACTTTTTTAAAACAAGATTTATTTATTTGAAAAGCAGAGTCAGAAATGTTTTCAGAGAGACACAGACTTTTTTTTTTTAAGATTTTTTTTTTTATTGGAAAGTCAGACACAGAAAGATCTTCCATCTCTTGGCTCATTCCCTAAGTGGCCACAACAGCTGAAGCTGAGTTGATCCGAAGCCAGGAGTCAGGAGCTTCTTCCAGGTCTCCCACAGGAGTGCAGGGTCCCAAGGCTTTGGACCATCCTTGACTGCCTTCCCAGGCCACAGGCAGGGAGCTGGATGGGAAGTAGGGCAGCCAGGATTAGAACCACTGCGCATATGGGATCTTAGTGGTTGTAGCGAAGACTTTAGCCATTAGGCTACCACACTGGGGCCTAACATTCATTTTTGTACTCATGTTTATAATTAGAATAAACTTCTAGAAATAGAATGTTCAGTACAGGATATAGGCTACTACCCTTAAAAAAAATAACAAAACTCTTAACTTACCCAGCAAAAGCATTCACAAGCTCGTTTTTCCTAAGCATTACCAGTATGGGCACTTCCTTTGCCAGTTCTCCTTTTACAATGCTCTTACAGGCAGATGTTAGTACTTCCGTTTCCAGTTGAGTAACCCATTGAAATTTGAAGAGGATCACAGAGTTTGTTAGGACACAGTGCTAGGGTTTGAGCCAGCCACTTTGTGGTTTCTAAAACTGGTGTACTCCACTTCCCTCAGCTAGTCAAGTTGTAACCTGGCCAAATTTGCGTTTGGCTCCTCTATATTGGCTGGTCTTATTATTTTCTAACTTGCCACTAACGAAGTTCCCTCGTCGTCTCCTTGTGCCCCTGGATTGTGGGGCTTTGGTCATCTGTTCCGAGGGGCCAGCTCACATGCACCTCCATTTCTCTACCCTAAACTGTTCCCCATGGTTGTCATCTGTGATTTTGGCTCGCTGGAGGAAGCTGTCAAGACTGTTGGGTGGTGAGGTTACTGGGGACTCTGCCCAATACAAAGTCCTGAGTCTATTCTGCCAGTTAATCGCTGTTGTTTGTTCCTTGTATGGGAAGAGACATGGAAAGGATTCTTGCACTTGCTATTTAAAAATGTATGGTTTCCACTTAGCCTCTGGGTCGCAATGTGGATTTGTGTTTTCTTATTAGGTTCTTCTGTACTGTTTGTAAACATTTAGTTTATTTTTATTTGAGAGTGAAACACAGAGAGAGGGAGACAGATCTTCCATTTGCTGGGTTGTTCCCCAAATGGCCTCAATGGCCAGGGCTGGGTCAGGCAGAAGCCAGGAACCAGGAATTTCTTCCAGGTTCTCCCATATGAGTTTGAGGACTCAAGGCCCTGGGCCATTCTCTGCTGCTTTCCCAGGAAGCTGGACTGGCTGTGTAGCCACTGGAACTCACACCGGTCCCCATATGGGTTGCTGGCAGCTTAAGCTGCTACACTATAGCACCAACTCCAGGTTCTTCAGTTTTAGTTTGGAAGCTTGGGGCTGAGAAGAGCCGAGGAAGGAAGAAATCCTTGTGGAAATGAGGGAAAAGAAGCCATGTGATGTCAACACCCTCAGGCAGCTTGGGTGTGGGCTTAGGTCTCCTGCAGCCTGCTACATGACTGCTCTCTCATCCTCAGGAAGGCCGGTGAAGATGTCCGTTCAGGAATCAGGAGCCTCGGTGCCTCAGGTATGGTGTAAATGAGCTGATTTGGTCCTGTGTGGAATGCACAGTATGGGTGCAGAACAGTGACTTTAAAATGACCTGTGTGAGAAGAGTTCCTTGTGACAATGAGACACCAGGAGCTCCCTGAGCAGGGGACCTTGAATGTGGTGAAGAGGAAGGAGATTAAAGTGGATGCAACAATGATCTTTGGAACACAGGGAATTTCTGAAGTGCCATCCAGCTGAGTGATTGCTGAGCCCATGAGTGGGCAGCCACATGACTTTGAACTTTCACATATTCCAACCTTTGTTTGGGGTGATACCTTTTCTCCATAAGAGGCCACAGAAGGTCACACTTTGTACTGATTTGGCAAGAGACCGCTTGTGTTGCTTCAGCTTCATGTGGCGATATAGGAACCTTTTTTGTTTCAAATTACTTTTATCCTACAAAGCTCAAGGATGCACAAAGAGACTGAAATTTTTGTTGAAGAAATTGGAATAGTTCATTAGTCTTAAGCACATTTCCTTAATAGTGGACAAATTGGTTTAAAGGAAAATGTCAGTTGCAATGACTTCATGGTGACTCACCTGCTGAAGGGGTGTTTAAGGAAATTCAGTTGAAAAGCTGTTGGATGGGGGGAACTTACGAAAGTAGAGCAGTATGTAGAGTATTTAACAATCCATGCCTTCCTTTCCAGCACCTAACAGAAGAGAGATACAGGATGCAGAGCAAGGCCCTGGGAATCTGCCTGATAATTGATTGCATCGGCACTAACATAGGTATGTGTGGAAGCAGAAGGTTAACAAAAGTCCCCACCTGAGGTTACAACAGACTAATCGTGTATGATTAACCCCAGCTGCCCTAACACATCACAGCAGACAGTGACGTGTGTCTCCTCCTGTATGTCACAGCCCAGTGTAGACTGGATTGCGTGAACTTTGGTCCATGTGGCCATTGAGTAGCTTAATCCTCATCTGAAGCCTTGAATCCTCTGCAGGGTCCATTGTCCGATGGGAGGATGGTAGAGAGGATGTGTGAGGATCTCGTGATGACTTGCTCTGAAGCTAGATTGGAATGTAGTCACTGTCCCCAGCTGACTTCAGAGGATGTGGATTAGTTGGTCCAGTCCAGTGTCAGGAGAGTGAACTGATTTGAGGAATATGTAGCCTGATCTCTGGCACCTGCTGGATGATGTAGGAGAGCTGGTGAGCTTCGATCCTGCCTTTGCATCCTAGATGGTGGGGCAGGGTAGAGTCTTGAGACCCAGGGGACGTTTGCAGTGTGGGAGGCCCTCTGACTTCAGACTTTCTCAGGTGCCCCGTGGCTTACCTGTGGACTGTGAATGTGGGGACATTAGCACATGAGACTGATGTATGTTCACTAAGAGGGCTGGACATCATCTGATCCGCTTGGGTGTCACTTGGGTTTCCTGTCCTTTACTTTGGTTTTTGGCCTGAGTTTGTTTCACCAGTCTGTCACTATTGTTTGTATTTGGATGCCTTACTTAAACGGGCAAGGTATCAAAAGAATGACAATGTTTAATTATTTATCTCTTCCTTAGAAAGATTGATCATCATTTTTCCAAATTTTTCTAATTTCTCAGCAGTTTCTTAGAATACATCAGAATATCTTTTAAGATCACGTAAAATGTTATCACTGGGTTTCTAGGAAGAGTGTCTGAGAGAAGTGAACAAATATGAGACTGAATTTCCCAGGATTTCTAGTGTGACCCTATATTTTGTTAGTGAGAAATGTCCTCATCTCAGCCATAGATAAGTGCCCTGTCCATGCTGGCCATCAGTACACAGTATGAATGGGGATGTATTTACTCAGTGAGTCACTTCCTCTCAGACTGTCCTCCATCCGTGCTGGCAGTCAGTTTTGTCACATTCCTCAGTGCTGACACTCCCAAGAGCACATGATGCTGTCTGTTGGGCTTGTTACCTTTTTCTTTTAGGGAGAATCAAAAGATAAAAGTGTCCTTGGCCGTGACCTGGAAAACTGCCGTTTGTGGCTTGGATCCACAGGTCATGCATGTTTCCACACTGGGTTGGGGTCCCTTGCAGGCTGGGGTGGTGGAAGGCTCTGCATTCCAGGAGCATGAGCAGGGCTGGGGCATGACGACAAGGGGATGGAATGAACAGCTCTTCCTTGTATCATAGTTCGTGACTCTGGGCAACTGTTCAAGACACTTTAGTACTCAATTTCTTTTTTAATAAAGTAAGTTAATAAAAGGTCCTACCTTTTAGCAAGGCTGGGCAGAGTGAGGGAGTCCATATTTGTAAAACGCTTAGGACTGTGGCTGGAAGTCAGATTGGCTGGAGCTGCACTAATCTGAAGCCAGGAGCCAGGAGCTTCTTCTGGGTCTCCCATGTGGGTGCAGGGTTCCAGTGCTTTGTGCTGTCTTCAGCTGCTTTCCCAATTCACAAGCAGGGAGCTGGATGGGAAGCAGGGCTGCTGAGATTACAATCAGCACCCATATTGGATCCTGGTTCATATAAGGTGAGGACTTTAGCCACTAGGCTACTACACCAGCCCACCTTTATTTACTTTTAAAAATTTATTTGAGAGAAAGAGAGAGAGAGTGAATTCATGAGACCACTCTTATCCACTGGTTCACTTCCTAGATGCTTGGCAGTGGCTGCTTGTGCTGAAGCCAGGAGCTAGGAATTCAATCCAGGTCTCCATATGTGTAATGAGAACCCAACTACTTCAGTGTCTCTGTTGCCTCCTAGGGTGCTCATTAGCGGGAAGTCAGAATTAGGAGCTGGAACTAGAAACTGAACCCAGATAGTCCCACGAGGGTTGCTGGTATTCTAGATGGCAGCTCTACCACCAGCTCAGCCACCTGCCCTTGCCTGTTTAATTTTACTTGCAAATCCTCAGCAAGCACTTGTTGTGGCTTTGGCTTGCTTTGTGGAGTCTGGCCTCAGACAAGTAAGAGGTCGAGAATCCGGGGACTGGAGATCTGCATGGGCTGCCAGGGTGGGACCACATCCCCACACACTGCATCACACTGGAATGGAGGCTGATAACCTGAGAGATTATAATAAGGGGCAACCTTTTGGGATCTATCCCTGTTAGTCATCAATCTGAATGGCCACAACAGAGGAGATTTTAAGTATGAAATCTGAGATACAGAGCAAAGAGACTGATCAGAGAGAAAGCTACAAGAGGAGTGTAGAATTGGAAGTGGAGTTTGTGCCCCTTATCTTTGGCCCAGGAAGTAAGCATGTGTTGGCTGCGTGTGTATTGGTACCTCTGTGTTCTGCTTATGTGGCTACTGATGAGTGTGTATGTGAGCCCCAAGAATGAGAAGAGAAGTTCTAGGCAGTAGGTCCTTGCAAGTTCAACATCTTGAAGACGGAGTACTGGGCAAGCATGGGCCGGAGAGGGGCTGCCGGGTGCTCAGCACAGCCTCCCCTGAGAATTCGAGTTCTATGAACTCCAGCTCTATTTTTTTAAAAAGATTTATTTATTTATTTATTTATTGCAAAATCAGATATACAGAGAGGAAGAGAGACAGAGAGGAGGATCCTCCTTCTTATGATTCACGCCCCAAGTGACCGCAACAGCCAGTGCATGCGAATCTGAATCCAAAGCCAGGAGCCAGGAACTTCCTCCAGATCTCCCACACAGGTGCAGGGTCCCAAGGCTTTGGGCCGTCCTCGACTGCTTTTCCAGGCCACAAGCAGGGGACTGGATGGGAAGTGGGGCTGCTGGAATTAGAACCGGCGCTCAAACGGAATCCAGGTGCATGCAAGGTGAGGACTTTAGCTGCAAGGCCACTGCGCCAGACCCAACTCTTTCTGTCTTAAGGAACACAACAAATAATTAGGCTTGGGACATCTCCCGGGCCCAGGGGACTCATGAGCAAGTGACAAGCCCGACAGTACTTCCCTGGCACTGGGCTTCTTACCAGTGGAGCAGATACCAGCTGAGACTCCAAGCAGCAGGGTACTCCTCCTGGTTGTGAAGTAGAAAGATGCCATCCCCTCTTCCCACACTCTCCAAGCTTCCAGCTCTTTATTTTCCTCTCCTAGGGACCTTGTTTCCCCCCCTAAAGGACTCTAGCCTAGAGCCCTGTTTTGAGTACAAAGTGGTTTTTGTTTGGTGCTGTACTTTAGTTCTTCTGTTCCATCTTATCAGCAGAACACTATCAAGAATGATTATGTGGCATTTCCTTTATCTGTGTCACTTTGCCATATGGTTAATGAATGCAGAAGACAAATAACATTGAGGCAGACAAAATAATTTCCAGTTAAAATAGAACTTTGAAAGAAGCAGTGAACGATAAAGACTAACTTGATGTGATAATGATTAGTGGATATAATTTATTAAATACCTCCATGTGACTGGTTAAGTTATTGCCTGTAATGTTGCCATCCCACACGAATGCCAGCTGCTTTGCTTCTCATCTAGGTCACTGCCTATGCACCTGCAAAAGTAGAAGAAATGGTCCAAATTCTTTGGCCTTGCCACCCATGTGGGAGATGCAGATGGAGATCCAATCTTCTGATTTTGCCTGGCCCTGATATGATTGTTGCAGCCATTTGTGGAGTAGAACAGCAGAAGGAGCCAGGCCCGAACCAGGTCAAAGCCAAGAGCTTGGAATTCCATCTGGATCTTCCACACAGATTGCAGGATCCTGAATGCTTGGGCTGTAGTCCACTCTTTTCCCAGGGAGCTGATCAGAAGAGGGGCAGTTAGGACTCCATGTGGGATGCTGGCATTGCAGGCAGTGGTCTAACGTGATACCCCATAACTCTGGGGTATCATCTAATACCTTCATTAAAAGATCATGCAAATCCTCCTAGTGCTTATAGCTTGATTCATTCCTTTGTCCAAAAAGTGTATGAGCAGTATGCTTGTTTGTGAGTGAAATGAATTTCAAGGCTATGAGGTTGTGTCTGGTCTCTGATTGGCAGAGGAAAAGACCGGTCAGTCCTGGTGTGTCTTCTTTGCAAGTCCCTTGGCACACTAGGCCTGTGCTGGCCTCTGTTGTGAGTGCCAGCCCTCTTAATCTTGTTAGGAATGTGGACCCATGGACTTTGGAGGTTGGCCTGAAGCTGTAGATGTGTTGTAAACTCCCGAATGAGGAATGGTATTTGCAGATTTTATGAGGAAATGTTTTTTCTTTCTTTTTTTTTCACATTGACTGCTTTTGAAAAGCTTGAACAATGTTCTGTGCTTTGTAAATAGGCTAAGATTTAGACTTTTCTAGTAGACATTTACAGATTTCTATCACTTGCATAAGTAAACTTCATCTTACTTTGAAAAAAGATTTAACTAATTAACTAATTTAATTTGCAATAGCAAGAGAGAGAGATATATCTTGTCTGTTGGTTCACTCCTTTTTTTATAAGCCCATCATTTATTTATTTATTTATTTATTTTTAAAGATTTATTTTTATTATGTTTTTTATTGGAAAGGCAGATATACAGAGAGGAGAGACAGAGAGGAAGATCTTCCGTCCAATGATTTACTCCCCAAGTGAGCGCAACGGCCGATGCTATGCCAGTCCGAAGCCAGGAGCCTCTTCTGGGTCTCCCACGCAGGTGCAGGTTCCCAAAGCTTTGGGCCGTCCTCGACTGCTTTCCCGGGCCACAGGCAGGGAGCTGGAAGGGAAGCGGGGCTGCCGGGATAGAACTGGCGCCCATATGGGATCCTGGGCGTGCAAGGCGAGGACCTTAACCACTTGCGCCACCGCGCCGGGCCCTATTTATTTATTTATTTATTTATTTTCACATTTTATTATTATTGCTATCATTTTACAAT